AGTAGGGGCTGGTATGAAAAAATCACTAATTGTTCTTAACCTGAATCATGCATGCATTCTGTGCAAGCCAGCATGAGTTCATGCTTGTTTAGTCATGCAGCAAAACTCTCGATATGTAGCAGGCTTTTCTGTCTGCTGTATGCTGGGAATCATTTGGTAGACATCATTATTATTTCTTTTCAAGAATTATATATATATTTTTTTCAGACAGCAAAAACCTGCCTTCTTACCTTCCCATACCAACCCTCTCCCTCCTCCACAACTTGAGAACTAAAGAAAATCCAACTCTGTTATAAACCTGCTTAGTAAATCAAAACAAATTTCTATGTTGGCCATATCCAAAATTTTTTTTTGTCTCATTTTGTACTCTGAGACTTTCACCTTGCTATCAGGAGGTGCGTAGTGTATTTCATCATTAGTCCTCTAGAATCGTGATTGGTCGTCATGCTGATAAAAGTTCCTGATTCTTTAAAAGTTGTTTGCCTTTACCATATTGCCATTATCATATGACTTGTTCTCCTGGTTCTGTTTACTTCACTTGGTATTAGATCATACAAGTCTTCCTAGCTTTCTCTGAAATCATCCCTTTCATTTCTTTTAATACAATAGTAGTCCATCACATTTATACACCATAATTTGTTCATTCCTTCTCCAGTTTATGAGGACCCCCTCAGATTCCTATTCTTTGCCACCTCAACAGAGCTATACATATTTTTGTACCTCTTTGGAGTTTGTTTTGTTTAAGGCTAAATTCATCCCTTAATCTGCCCTTCCTCTCATCTCCCCTCCCCCATTTTCCCTTTCACTTCCTCTTTCCATGTTAAATAGAATTTATTTCTGTACCCATCTGTGTATATATATATATTCCTTCTTCTTTTAACCAGTTCAGATGAGAGTGAGGTTGAAGTATCAGTTATTTCTATCTCCTCCTCATTTGTATAGATTTCTATTTGTACACCCTAATTTTTTGAGAAAATTTTCTCTAACTTTCCTTTCCCTTCTTCCTCACCCCCTCCATTCTGCTTCCCTTCCCTTTCCATTTTTCTCCTAAGATCATTAAGACATAACAGGATTACTCCTGAGCGTCTAATTAGACTCTCTCTATAATCATTGATGATGATAGTGGTAGGGATCAGCAGGGTCACATGTATCATTTCTCTATACTAAAATATAAGCAGTTTATCCTTGTTTATTCAGTTATCATTGTTCATATTTGCTGCTTGATATTTCTCTTGACTTCTATGTTTGAACTTCAAAGTTTCCATGCAACTCTGATTTTTTTCATCAGGAATGTTGGAAGTCCTTTATTTCGTTAAAGGTCTATTTTTTCCTCTGTAGGATTATACTCCGTTTGTTGGTTAAGGTATTATTGGTTGTAAGCCTGTCTGTATATTTAGCCTTCTGGAATGCCATATTCCATGTTCTCCATTCGTTTATAGTGATGGCTGCTAAATAGTGTGTGATTCTAGAGCCTTGGTACTTGACTTCTTTCTTTCTGGATGTTTGCAATATCTTTTCTTTGACCTGGAAGTTCTGGATTTGGGCTCTAATGTTCCTGAGAAGGAGATGAGGGCTCTCCCTTCATTGGTGGAGTATTGTGGGTTTGAGATATTGCAAATCCTGTTCAACATGATCAATGTATTGTTTAGTTTTGTTGAACTGCTTTCCCCTCCCCTTTTAAAAGATTCTTTTGGGGCAGGTAGGTGGCACAGTGAATAGAGCACTGGCCCTACAGTCAGGAGGACCTGAGTTCAAATCTGGTCTCAGACCAGATACTTGACACTTACTAGCTGTGTGACCCTGGGCAAGTCACTTAACCCCAATTGCCTTGCTAAAAAAAAAAGATCCTTTGTTATAAAGGATGGCTGAATGGGCTGGAAGGTCAAGGGGAGGAGAAGGGAATAAGTTCAGAAATGAATGTGGTATAAAAATAGAAGACATCAACAAAAATAGATAAAAAAAATTTTAATCTCCAGAAGAGAAGTGATAGCAGGACAAAGTCTAAGCACATTGGCTGACTGCTGTTGAACACTGAGAGAGGATGTTCCACAGGAAAAAAAAATATAATAAAGTCATCAGTAGCTCCATTTTAGGTGAATTAAATAAGTACAATTTTATTTAGTAAAAAATTATTTTTCAACTTTTAGCACTATGATTCCAATAAAAAGCAGTGGGATGGATGAAACCTGGAGCACATATGAAATCTACACACAAAACACTACAAAGTTCACCTATTTTTGTAGGTGTGACAGGAAAAAAATTCTTTTTTCCCCCCTTGTCTGATGTTATTTAGAGGCAAGGTAATGTAATGGATAGACAGCCAGCATTGAGAGCAGGAAGGCCTGGGGTCAAGTGCTCTCTGACACATCCTGGCTGTGTGACCCTGGGCAAGTCACTTAACCTCTTAGTGCTTTAGGAAACTTTCTAATACAAGTTGTAGAAAAGGTGCTAACCTGCACTGGTAGAGGGAGTTTCCTCACCTGTGAGTTCCCCTATGCCCATGAAATCATGGATCTACTCCCCACCTTTACCCAGGGTTGTCATCTCAGTTGTACAGATGAGGCTTTGTACTGTTTTGTAATAGTTCCTCCATTTGTAAAAATGATGACACTAATATAATAATCATGACTTTGATTTCTGTAGTCCTGCTTACCTCAAAGTGATGTTGTAAAGTGACATGTAATGATATAAGTAAATATTCTTTGAAAGTAAGATAAATCCAAGTTCTGCTAAGGTGTCTGCTAGGTATTCCACAGAATTTCAACAAGATAGTCTCATCTGTTTGGACACATCAGAGAGTCACAGGCAAATAGTTCCTGATGTCATTAGTTTGTTACCTGAAAGTGTAACATTAGAAAAAACAATATTGTGGAATCGGTTAATTTAATAGGAACAATGTAATAAATGTACAATCAGCCAAACAAGACATGGGATTTTGCAATGACCTTTTGGTTATGCTGTATTAATATTGTTCCGAAGTTATGTTGGTCAGTGCAACATTAGGTAGGAGATGCCCATAAAGACATCAGCAACAAGATAGGAAGAAGCAATCATCCACACTGCAAGAAGGATGCCATTTCTTCACTCTCACCCCCTTATATCATTATATAACTGTTATTTGTTGACTAATATCAACAAACATGAACTTTTCCATTCACAAATAAGAACAGAAAAAGAAACTGTGGTGTATCTATGATGTACAGCATTCTTTTTTCCATATCAATTTAATAGAATAATAGTATATATCAATTTAATAGAGTAATAATACCACTGTCTGGCTTGTCTTTGCCTTCTTTTGTTCTCTTTTGTGTTTTAAAAAATGTTTCATTGGCACTTTAAAAAATATCACTATACTCTCCCATTCTTTCCTGTGTCTCTCTCTCCTCTCCTTCCAGAGTAAAAGCTCTCCCTTATGACAAATAAGTATAGTCAAGCAAAACAAATCCATACATTGTCTGTCTGAAAATAGATGTCTTATTCTGTGTCTTTAGTCTCTCATCTGTCTGCCAGAAGGTGAGATCGCTGATGCTTCATCTTCAGTCTTCTGGAGTCATGATTGTTCATTGCATTGATCAAAGTTCCATTGCTTTCCTTTACAGTGTTAATCAGTGTATTAATTGTTCTCCTGGTGTTCTTTGCTTCATTCGGTGTCATTCCTTACAACTCTTCCCAGATTATCTGAATTCATCCCTTTGTTCGCTTTTTATGGTACAAGACATTTCATTTGTAGAGGCAACATGGTGTGGTGGATAGAGAGCTGACCTTGAAGCTAAGAGATCAGGGTTCAAGTCCTGCCTCTGACACACATTGGCTCTGCTGGGCACTTCCCTTAACCTCTCAGTGCTCTATGGCAGTGGTGTCAAACTCAAATAGCAACCCATCAGGTCACATATTGACTTAGGAAACCACAAACTAACATTATCTGTTTTATTGTTTTTATTGTTTTATTTTTATTTATTTTGTTAAATATCTCCCAATTACATTTTTATCTGGTTAGGGCCACACTCTGCTCTAGGCAACTGTAGTTGCAGACTATAAGTTGCAGAGAAGACTCTAATCTGCATTGGTGGAAGGAGTTACCTCACTTGAGAGTTCCTGACACCAGTGAAATCACAGGTTTAGAGCCTATCCCTATATCATCACTTGTTCAGCCATTCCCCTAACTGATGAGCATTCATTTTGTTTCCATTTTACTATAAGAGAAAAATTCTGTTATAAATATTTTTGTGCATATAGGTCCTTTTCCTTCTTTCATCTACATGGGGTATATGCCTAGTATTAGTATCTTTGAGTGAAAGAGTATGCATGGTTTAGTGACTTTTTGGGTATAGTCCCAAATTGCTTTCAGAATAATTGGACAAATTCTCAGCTTCACCAACAGTGCATTTGTATAGGGTGATTTCTAAAAGCATGGAACAGGCCCTTCTTCTTTAGATGGTGGCATTTGGTAAAATGAACCCAGGAGTATTGAGTGGAAGAGAAAAAGAGAGAACAAAAGTACCTGAGCGTACTGGGAGTGTGATGGGTAGAAAGTGAATAACCAGGAACCATCTTTGTATGATGGATCCCAGCCAGACCACATTTTAGACAGGTGAAGTGGCTGTGTAGGAAGCAGGAGAAAGGCTGTTGATGGCATGGGAAACAATCTCTTTATTAGTTGTAAAGAAAACAAGGAACTGTTCCTGTTTTTAGTGTTTCAGATTATGCCTTAAGTTAGTAGAGTCACAGAGAGAGCAGATCTAAGAAGAAGGACAAAGGTAGATTGCAGGTGGTGAAAGGGGTTGGAGGGTAAATAAAGCACAGCAACTGAATCACTTCATCGTTTCCCTCCATCCTCTGTTGCATCTCTGACAGATGGTCCGTACTCCTCAGATGTCCATCTGAGAACATAGGCTGCAGAATATTCATAGTTCTTGTTAGTTCTTTGAGCCCCCAAAGTAAATTGAGAATGCCATGTTCTTATCCTTGTCACTGATGCTGTTTTGTCTCCCTGAGCCCAGAGAGAAGCTACTCTTACTGGGGACCAGTTCATGACAGAGAGACAGAGCTTAACCCCCAGAGTCAAGGACCATCTGGAGTGAAGTCATCCTCTGAGGTGAACAATGGCTTCAGCCTCAGGCTGCCAGGTACAAGTTCCACAGAAAAACTCCACCAGGGGTCAGAAAACTGCCCTTCAGGTGGGAGGAACAGCTGACTCGGAAACCTTCCGTCAGCATTTCAGGCAGTTCTGCTATCAAGAGGTGGCTGGGCCCCATGAAGCTTTTAGTACGCTCTGGGAACTTTGTTGTAGGTGGCTGAGGCCCAAGACGAACTCAAAAGAACAAATCTTGGAAATGCTGGTGCTGGAGCAGTTCCTGACCATCCTGCCTGGGGAGATCCAGGTCCAGGTGAGGGAGCATCATCCAGAAAATGGAGAGGAGGCTGTGGCGCTCGTTGAGGATTTGCAAAAAGAGACTGAGAGACCAGAACAGCAGGTGAGAAAGAGAAATACTTGATAATGGTAGGAAGAAGCTGCAGCGAGGTTATCAGAGTGTCAGCTGGCGTAAGAGACAAAGGGTCTCCCTTACCTTTCTAAGATTTTTTTTTAACCTATCTTGTGTGATACTATACTACCATCACCACTACTACTGCTGCTAGCAACTTACGTTTATAAAGTGCTTACTTACTCTGGAGATTTGTGAGCATTGTCATTCCCATTTTGCAAATGTAGAAGCTGAGGCTTACAGGAGTAACTTGTCCAAAGTCACACCATTAGTAAATGTGGAGTTGTAATCAATGGATTTCTAATTCCAAGTTCAGTACTTTTCTCACCATACTACAAGGGAAAAAATTGCCTTTTTCTGTCACATCAGCCAGTTAATCCATTCAACTAATATATGTTATTGAGATCCTGCTTTGTTCAAGGCACTGTGTCAATGCTAAGAGACAAAGCTGTTCCAGACATGGTTCTTTTTATCAAGGAGCTAATAGCTTTGTGGGCATGATAAAGCATGGGCTTTACACATTGTGACATTGACATAGAAGAACTTACCAAGCTGAGCCCTCTCCAGCTTCCTTAGGATCATTGATGTAGAGCTGAAGGGACCTTGGAGGTCATCTAGTCCAACCAAACTGAGACCCACAAGGGTTAAAGTGACCTTCCCAAGGTCACACAATTCATAAGTGCCAACTTCTTTGACTACAAAGCTGTCACTTTTTCCACTGTACTGAGTCACTGCCTCCCTTGAGTGAGGAGAGGGCATTGGTTGTGTTTCCTGGCTCAAGATAAGGATGCTGAATTGACAGTTATGGCTGGAAGCTTTGATGGGAAGAGTTAGGGCTTGAATAAGGATCTGAAGTCTGAGAAGGATGAAGGTTGGTGATGGAGAGTTGGGCAGTATAATTGTTCCAATTTTGGCATAGATGGGTAATGTGAAGATTAATGTGGCTGAGATGGAAGTATCTCATGAAGGGCTACAAAAGAATTTAAATTTTATTGAGTAATCAGAGTATGCTTAGGTTGGCGGAAGAAGAGAACCTGAGATAAAAGTGAAATATACATGAAGTTGTATATTATTCACTGGGGGAATGCAAAAGTCTAATGGGCTGCCCTGGGAAGTGATGAGTTCACCTTTGATAGAGGTTGTCAACAAAAAACCTAGTGATAGTCTATGGGTGATTCTTGTTCACATTCAGGTTGGATTAGATGGTCATTTCAGTCCCTCCCAATTCTAAGATTTTGTGAATCCTCAGCATAGCATGGTGAAGGCCATGTCCGGAGAGTACTGTAGTTCTTTTATGACAGTATTCTGACCAAGAGCATCATAGGTTTCTCGAAATAGAAAATATTTGCTTATTTCAAAAGGAATCAACCTTTGACTTCTGTAAACTTCCTGTGAAAGTGGAAACACAGTAGCTCAAGGAATAATATTTTAGTTCCTGTTTCTGCTTCCTGATATAGTTAGTTTTCATGCCTCTCTTTGGGGGTTTTTAGATTGAGCTTTTCCTGGAATTATGTCCAATTTTAGACTATATAGTAACTATATATGGTGCTATTCCCAGTTTCCAGTCAGTGTGCAAAACCCAGAAGTGCTTGTAGAGAAGATAGTACCTATGGGAATAACACAGGAGTCCATGAGCTACCAGCTAAAGCAAGAGGAGAACCGGCAGGAGGAAGATCCGTCAAAGAATGCAGCATGGAGCCGTCATCAGCGACCACAGGAACAGTCAGGCTATGAACAGGAGCCTCAACTCAGACCAGAGACAAGTAAGGAGCAGTGGTTGCTTGGTGGATGGAAAGGAAAACCTGAGGCCCCTAGTACATCTCTTGGGGGCCAGATGAAGTACCTCATATGGAGGGGTTCCAATCTTAAAGATCTTTAGGAAAGAGGTTTTCAGGATGATTTAATTGATATGATAAATTACAGTCAGGCAGTGCTTTACGTCTGAATGCAGGTAAGCCCTGTTTCTTCACCTGCAATGTCCTTTCCTCCACAGTGTTTCTTTAGTTCCTTTTGTCTTTACTCAGAGGTCCTTTTTTTCAGTTCTCTTCTCTATTTTCCAAATGTAATGATCAAAAGTCATAGGTAGAAGTTTCTTTTTCAGTAAGGCTGATTGGCTGGAACAGCCTCTTGGAAATTGCATTTTGACCTCTTTTTTACTTAACTGAAAATTGATATTGGTGGCTGTTGAGCTTTTTTAAAAACTCAGACCATTTTGTATGACTAGATTCTGGATATGAACCTATCTAGATGGTTTGTGGATTGGCAAACTTCATGTGGCTAAGAATAAAGTTAACATGAGTGGTTTCTTTGTTTCATTTTTCTGTTGGTTTTTAAAAGCAAAGCAAAATTTCCCTCCTATTTTGTTTTACCTCTTTTTTTCCCCCTAATCCTAGGGAGTTTTTTGGTTTTGGTTTTGGGTTTTTTTTTTGGCTCTCCGCCAAGTGATGCACCAGGCCTTGGCAAGGATAGCAACTGAATTGGGATTCCACTCAATTTCACAAACATTTGTTAACTGGCCAATGTATGAAGAACATACAACTATACCTCAACCTAGGCATGGGAGAGAGAGAAAGTTTAGATAAAAAATGGTTCCTGCCCTCATGGAATTTATAGTCAGGTAGTAGTTTTATCTGGTAGAGATTACTGTGCTTTAGTCCCCAAATTCTAATCTAGACCACTAAATGGCTCATGATTACAAAGGTTCATATGCCATTCTTCTCAGGTTTCTAATACTGGTAATTAGCCACAAGTGCAGGATTCCTGGAAGAGTTTGAAAGAGGGCACTAATTCTTTGGTTCTATCTATTTGGTTTCTGTTCTGTCATAAGGATAAGAGACTGTGGGAGGATCTCATTGAGTTAGTAAATTAGTTCAGAGATGACCATAGAGAAAGAGAATGTTTATCAATTTCCATCCCTCTAATAACTCCTTTTTTCTCTTTCAGCCAGGGTTACTCCCCAGGTTTCAGCCTTTCCCCGGGAGAGAAGGAAGAGAAACCAGGAGATGGAAGCTGTAATCCTTACAACTGGGTTTCAGGTGAGCTGCAGTTCCTCTATTCCTTCTGAGATCACAAGGTTTCATCCTGGGATTTTTTTTTCATAGTCTAGAGTTCATTTCTTTCTGTTTTCAAACTCCCTTCCTTCCCAAGCAAATCAGGTAGATTTTTAAAAAGTGTATTTGGCTACTTGCCAGCACCCCTCATATTATTTGAGTATATAATCTCTTATTTTGCCCCCCTTTCCACCCCACCCATACCTCACTTTAACTACAGAGGCTCCTCACCTCAGCTCTCTTCTTGTGTCCTGATCTGATCATTGTGCTCCTGTCTCTGCCCCTCAACCTAGGATAGAGCGATGCTATTTTCTCGGTAGCAGCAGGTACCGGTGTTGTTACAGGAACCAGTCACATGTGAGGATGTGACCATGTCCTTCTCCCCGGAAGAGTGGAGGTGTTTGAATTCTGCTCAGAGGGTCCTCTACCGGGGTATCGTGCAGGAGAATTACAGAAATGTGGATTCAGTGGGTAAGGCTTCATTTCCCCAGTAGACTTAGAACCAATTTCTTACTAGCCTAGTTTCCAAAACCCCAGAACCTGAGAGAGATACAGACTTCATTGCCTTTTGTGACAGAGGAACTCTTCCCTTCTCAGAGTAATTTCTACCCTACTCTCATGGATTTTTGGAGGGACTGAATCATGGATACCTTTCTTATTCCTTTCCTACCTCATCCAAAAGATTCCCTCTAACAGACTGCTTTGATTTCAGTGGTGGCCCAAACTGGCCACTCTTTTGTTATCCCTAAATCAGTATGTTTTCCCATCCCTGCATCATATCTCAACCATCTCAAATAGTCCACCAAGAAACTTTTCTTCAGATCCCTTTGTCTCTGGGAGATTGTAGTGTTTACCTGAATTTGGGGATTCTTTGTGATTAGTGTAAACTATGATTTTCTCTTTCTGCTTTTGAATGTTTAGGACTTGCCAAACCTCTTCTGATCTCTCGGGTGGAACATGGAAAAGATACATGTATTCCAGATCTTCAGGGTTGCAAGGAAACAGAGGTCCTAAGTAGCTCCTGTACAAATGAGAACCGAGTACAGACTGATGAGAAACAAGCAAAAAGGGAAGAAAAACACGGGGGAGACCAGAAGCAACAGTGGGACTTGGAGGATGAAAAAATCACAGGTATGCACTGCAGTTTGGAGGGAAAAAAAATCTTTCCTTCCAATTCACAATGAATCTCAGGTTTATGAAAAACTCTGCACCCATCAGCAGAATGGCCAGGAGTATAGGGCAGTAGTTTACCAAATGAGAGAGTTCTCATCTCAAGAACAGGCTTCCTTTTTTCCCCTATTTACAAAAATTGTATAGCTTGTATTCCCTTTGTTATCTGGGGTGCGATGTTGGGATTTGATAGAATGTAGAAAAATCCCAGCACAATATCTTGAGGTCATGTGTTTTCAGTGGTGTGAGCTGGCCCTCCAATGATTCAGGTTGTATCCCTTCCATACCTTCTTAGGGTTGAGTTGCTCTGGCCAGCCTTCTGTTGATTAGCCTTTCTGAAATTAGGTTGGTCCTTAGATTACAATTAGTTACTGAACTTTAATCAAAATCTTTTTTATTAATTGTATGTTTAGAAAATTGATGCTCTTTTCTTTAAAAAAAAAAGTCACTATCAATTCCAAATGACTTCCTGAAAACCTTCCTTTCTACACTCTACCACCCCCACTCCAACAATAGAGCATTCCTTGTATTTGAAACTTTTTCAACTTGGGAGGACCAGTCAGATCTTTAATTCTACTAGAAGAGCCTTCAAGAATTCAACATCACAATGAAGCTTAAGAGAAGGACTTTAGTGGAGGGTTTGGATTGTATTCTTTGAAAATGATTGTAAAATTTCCCATATTTTCAGCCCACAGGGGGAAAAAAAAGATTTTCTGTTCATCTAGGAAATGCAAATATAAAGAAATTCCATATAATGCACAGATTTCCTCAAGACAAAGAAGTATACTTAGATGTTACACTTCCTAGAATAGGGTTTGTTTTTGCTCCAGACCTGTGATTTTATCCCTGTAGGGGAACTCCTGGTATGGAAATTCCCCTCACCAATGCAGAATGGCAGTTGTCTGTAATTTGTAGACTTAGAGAGTTCCTGAGGCACGAGGATTTCTGTGACTTGCTATGGTCACATGACTAGCTAGTATGTGTCAAGTCAAGACTTGAACCTAGATTCTTCTAACACCAAGGCTGGCCACTACACCACACTGCCTCTGATGCTTGGAAAGGTACCATTGCATAAATTCATTTTAGGATTGAATTTTTGGTTTGGTCCAGATCTGCTCATGTTGTCTTTCCTGGCCATAGCATTGGTTCCTTTCCTGCTCCTGCCTAGGCTCTGCATGTACCTTTACTTCTTTCTATCTGCATTGAAGATATTAAAGTATGTCTCTGTTTGTGAACAAACTGGTGTTAACATGATTTCAGTGCCTCCCTAAAGGTGATAAAATAGACTTGTGGTTTTTTTTATGGCATCACCAGAACAAAAATAGGCCTTTTGACAGACCCCAAACTTAGACTCATGGTCAACTTCATTCTCCTTTAAGCAGCATAGAGTTGGAGAAAGAAGTTGAGGATAGCCTTGCTTCTAAGACCATCAGAGTTAGACTGGAATCAGATTAGATGTGTTGGGAAAAACCTAGATTTTAGCTCTCCTGGACAAACCCTAGATAAATTCAAGTCTCTTGAGGGGTTCTGGACTTGATCTGTATTTCAGGGATATGCATAAAGGGTGGCTGAACTCCAGCTCCTGCTAAGTGGTATTCACTAACATATGTCAGAATAAGCATAGTTTGGAGTATTTTGATATCAAAATGTTAACTCATGAGTTTCATATACACAGGATAACACAGGAAGTATAGACAGGAGTTGGGCTAGACTAGATGTTACAGAATACAGCAGGAATGAGTGTGGGCATATGACCCCTTGCTCAGCCTCTGTATCCCCTTCTGAGTTCATCAGAATCCATCTATTTGTATTATTTTGATTCTCACCCATCCACTTTTACTTTTACTTTGAAACTCAACACTTCTTATTGCTGAGTAAATGAATAAATTAAAAAGCATTTCTTAAGCCCTTACCACATGCCAAGCTCTGTGCTAAGCCCTGGGGATACAAGTACAAAAGCAAAGATAGTTTCTGCCCTCTGCCTATGTTCTCATGGGGGCGACAATAGTATTGCCCTTTCTTTGCCCTCTGTCCCCAGTCCTGAAGTTCTCACAGAGGTGACATCTATTTCTGGCCAAGGTAGAAAATAGGCCTCAGGAGGCTGGAAACCCAGGGAGGTTGTGGAAGAATATATAATAGATAATTCAGAGAGTGATAAAATGGGTTTTAAGAAGCCTAGCCAGAAAGCAGAGAACCTTGGGTTCCAAAACCTCTTAAAAAATCAACATGCTAAGAATTTCTTCATTCAGAGTGGGGATAGGAAAGACTGATTTGGGCTAAATGCCTGAGGTCCATTCCAAATTTGAGACTGTGATTCTAGGAATCTCCTTGGTGGCACCATTTCAATGTCTGACCTTGCTTTTACTTTTGACAAGTTTTGTTACTCATCTCTATGTGAATGCTGGCTTTGGATCTCTATGGGTGTTGGATCTATAAAACTTGACTTTTTTCAGATCTTACTATGGCAGAAGGGACCTCCAAAGTACACTGAGTTGTCTCTCCTAGTCCCAGGGCTATGTTTGCTTGGTACTAGCCGTTATTTTCTCCCTGCATTACTTGATCAGAACTAGAGAAAAGGTTTTTTATTCAGGGACCCATGCTGAGGAGCCTTTTGTTTTCAGAGGTCAGGTTATTTAAGAGGAGGATTTTCTAGCCTTAGCTTTGTGCTTTGGCCTTTAGCACCAGGCAAATATCTCAGAGCAACCTGATAACCTGATATAGAAGGATGATCTCCTCTTCTTGGCCTTGCTTTTGTGCAAAACAACTTGCTTGTCAGTGTCCACCAAAAGATGTAGTATAAGAGAAAAAAGATGCTGGTAGTGGTCATTTTTCCATAAACATGGGTTGAAATCACTAAAAAGAACTGAGAATCTCAGATTTTTTTATGTAACTAAACAGATCTCAAATGGGGAAGTAAAACATTCAACTTTTATTAATGTAAAACTTAGCACATGACATTGTGCTTCTGAATTTTCTTCTGTCAGTAATTTAGTCATAACTATTCTCTCATGGTTTCCTTTCTTTCTAGCACAGTCAATTAATTTCTATTCTTTCAGGTTTAGAAATCAAGAATGAGATCAAAAAGGAGGATCTAAAATGGGAATATTCAGAAGAAGAGCAACTGAGCAGAACAATACCGGGAAGATTTAATCGACAGATTTTCCAGTATCCTGTTCTGAAAGAAGCCTGTGAGACTGTGAGCAAGTTAAGAAAACAGCTTATGAATTTTCCACGAGAGAGACAAGGGAAACCAGCTTTCCAGGAGAGAGATTTAATGAAGAAACTAGGTCAACAGAAACTCTCTGTTGGAGAAAAACACTATAAACAACTGGCATGTGGAAATAGCTTTTCTCAAAATTCCCACAAGTCAACCCCTGAATTAGAAAAGACTACTAAATGTCATGAGTGTGGAAAAAGTTTTAGCCGTGGTTCTTATCTTGTTAGGCATCAGAGAATCCATACAGGTGAAAAACCCCACAAATGCAATGAATGTGGGAAAAGTTTCAGTGAGCGTTCCAACCTCACTGCCCATCTGAGGACCCATACTGGAGAGAGGCCCTACAAGTGTGGTGAGTGTGGGAAAAGCTTTAATCAGAGCTCAAGCCTCATTGTCCACCAGAGAACCCACACGGGAGAAAAGCCATATCAGTGTAACGAGTGTGGGAAAAGGTTCAACAATAGCTCCCAGTTTAGTGCTCATCGGCGAGCTCACACTGGGGAGAGTCCATATAAATGTAGGGAGTGCGGGAAAAGTTTCAACAATAGTTCCCACTTCAATGCCCATCAGAGAACACACACTGGTGAGAAGCCCTATGAATGTTCTCAGTGTGGGAAAAGCTTCAGTAAGAGCTCTGCCCTTACTAGACACCAGGGAGTTCATATGAGAGAGAAGTTTCTGATTCAGTCAAGGCTTAATGTACTTGAGAGAAATGTATCATAAATAGATGATGCTTGGGGGAAAGGATGACAGAGACTTCTTAAATCACAGCTTACTAACAGGTGTTTGTTAAGGTTTTCTTAACACTTACTGAGGCGGATCCATATCCTAAGAACTATCTGTTGCTGGCTTTGTAGAGTTCAGGAAGAGAATCAAGAAACCTGGATCAAACTTCTCAGCTCTGACTAAATCTGCCCTATTGTTACATAGTTTCACTCTTAGTAAGGCAAAGAAATGCGATCCATGAATTCAGCCTTGGAATAGTCCCTTCTTTCTGTGATCCCACAAGCACTTAAAGATGTGCAGACAGATGAATGGAGGTGGAAAGTGTTTCAGATCTAGTCTTGGTGGGTCTTTTTTTTTTTTAGATTTAGAACTATGATTCCATCAGTGTATGGAATCCCTAATGTGTAAAATCCTTTCACCAGTACAGATAAGTAAGTTACATTTAACTTAGAATCTTAGAAATTGTTTGGGGCACTAAAAGATTGTGACTTGCCCACAGTAACTCAATTGAGTCAGGGATATGACTTGAACCCAGGCCTTTCTAACTCCAAGGCCAGGATATGTGGAATCACATATCCTTCAGGTAGGGGTAGTTAATACTGTAGCATATTTCCTCCTGCTGTGAATATGCATTCAGAATTAAGCCATAGGTAACCAGTACTTCAGTTTTAGGTGCCTGAGGATCTTTGGCACTGTGATCTATTGAGCAAAAAGAGAGATGTTCACAATTGCATAGAAGGAATAGAAAAATATCACCAATAAAGTGGGTGGAATAGGGGTCAAGCCAATGTAGAATGACTTGGTCTTCGAATATATGTAATATTTGGGTTTGCCTTTTTAAAAACTGACGTGAAGTAAAATGTAACGATCTCATATTTTGTCCCAGTTCTAGCCTGTCAGTTAAGAACGTGACTATTAGAAATTGGCTTGCCTTTCCTTCAACAAATATTTGTACTAGTTTGTAAACATTACTGTTTCTGATGAAAATAAAAGTCTCTCCCAACCCCTTTTATGTTTTGTTTTTGTTTTTAAAATCTCTTATGTTAGCACTGATAAGGGAATCAATACAGGGTACATAGAGCAGGCTTCCCACAGGGGTCAGGTTCTGTGCAATGGATCACATAAGGTGGAATATCCAAGTGAAATAAGAGCCAAAGTCAGTGTCACTGAGTGAATGGGGAATCGAGTCATGGAAATGAAAGACCGTGAAGAAGGCAATGGTTTTAGAGAAATCTGTATGTTCTGATCCTAGGTGAAGTGAATGGAACCAGAACAACTTATACAATGATAACAATACAGTAAAGGCAAATGTCTTGGAAAGAATTAGGCACTCTTTTTTGTTGTTGTTTATGCAACTTTATTAAAGAAAAATAAATTAATTACTAGCAGAGCTATTAGTTGATCAGTCAGCCATTGACAACTTGCATCATTTATTCAGTGCTATATTAAACAAAATTTAAATGAAAATTACAAAAAGTTCAAGACCCTATTTTGGAATACAAGGGTTGTTGACTTATAATTTCCATTCTCTGTAGAACAAGAACAGGTCATTCCTTTGTTGACATGCATAACATACATCACGTTTTCTGTTCTGCTGATGCTATAAATTCAGTAGCAATTCTCCAACCACATCAGTTATAAGCATAAAGTATATCATAAAACATTAAATTCTAACAACGGAAGGCTTAAACAAGATGGCTGCTGGTACAGTAATGTTGCTTCCTTTGATATGACAATTGTGCATCTGTCTCCCTCCCCCTCAGATGATTATCTTCAGCATAGAATTAAGCACTCTTATCAACTTAATGGCCAACTGTAATTCCAGAAGACTAATGATGAAACACACCACCCCTCTCCTGATAGCGAGGTGAAGGACTTCAGAGTGTGCAGGGTTAGACAAATATTTGGACACAGCCAAGCTGGAAATGTGTTTTGATTAACTGTACATATCTGTAGCAAGGTTTGTTTTTCTTTAGTTCTTGGTAGTGGTGATGGGGAAGAGTTAGGGCAGGAAGATGAGAAGGCAGATTTGTGCTGACTGAAAAAACAGAGAATTAAAAAAATTAAAAGACAGTGGGAACAGAGATTTTCCTGAGATAAGAGAAGTGGGAAGCATGCTATATTTGGAGTTAGGACTACATATCTATATCTATATAGGACTATATTTGGAGTTCAGAACCCTACTTGGCTACTTAATGATTTTTCTAGGGATGGAAAAAGAGAGGCAAGTACATTTTATGTTACTTTACACTGGCAATCTGTGAGTACTTATTCTAAGCTATGTGTAAAGTGTCATTTTATGCTTGGAACCTTTTGAAGAATTGAGCACAATAAAGGAAAAACGAAAAACTGAAAAAAAAATGAAGGTTCTAAAGGCAAGATGCAAAAGAAGAGGGCAGGATCAAATGTTCCCTTAGTTTATCACTTTCTTGAAATGCCAATAAAATATTTCAATTTATTGTAGGGGAAGGAAACAAGTATTACGTATGTACTATGTGCCATTCACTGTGCTAAGCATTTTATGAGTATCTCATTTGAGCCTCACAATAACCCTGGGAGGTAGATATTATCCCCATTTTACAGTTGAAGAAACTGAGGCAGACAGGTTAACAGGTCACAGAGTTAGTAAATATGTGAGGCTGGGTTTGAACTCAGATGTTCCTGACTCCAGGCCCAGCAACTCTATCCACTGGATCGACTAGCTGCCTCTAAGTATCATCAGTTTAGACCTGGAAGGGACTCCAGTTTAGCTCAACTACCTTACTTTGCAAACGAAGAAGACAGCTCAGGGAAAGACACACAGGTAGTAAGCACTGGGGGGCGAGTGGGGTTTTGAGGTCTCTACTTGCTGGCAGGTTAGTGGGAATATTGAAAGAATTCTCCCCTTTTGCCCCTTATCTGCCATCTCATCCTAGGAGGATTGAGGTGGTGAGGCTGAGATGGGAGTGGAAAGTGGCTGGTCATTTGTAGAATCCTGAGTGGGAAAGGACTTTAGAAGTCATCTAGTCCCCTTAATTTTGCAGATGAGAAAACAGGCCAGAGAGTTTGTAACTTGCCCAAAGTCACACAGTAAGTAGCAAAGGCAGGACTTGCCCAGTACTTTTCCTGCCATGCTGGAATTTAACAGAGGGATGGCGAGAAAATATGGCAAGTCAATGAGGATCACTTTGATGTTGAAAGTGTCAAAATACCTGTTTGGTTCATGGAAGTAATTAAATTTCAAGAGAATGTTTAAATAATCTTTGGCAGGAAAAATTGTTTACTAAGACTGGTATGTGATCTGTCAGGGGTTTCAAAGAGCAACAGAAAAACCAAGGTACAGTTAGCTGATATGGAAATATAGTTATCAACAAAGCAGTGACAAAAGTAGGTATTTAATCCTGGCAAGTAGAGAGCTTAAGATTCTTGCTCTGCTGAACTGGTTCTTTGGGGCAGAGATGTTTGGAACAGCACTGAGACTAGTGGCGCTTCAGTGAAAGGAGTCTCCCACCCCAGGAAAACACAACTCTTCTTTGCAGGGGTCTTTGTTCTAATTTGGCAGGTTTTCTGCCTCCCTTTCTCATTCCACAGTCAGACATTCATACTCTTCTGTCTCCCATTTTGTTTCTCCCTCATCTGTATCCTTTTCTACTCCCAGGTTTCATCCACAATCTCTCAAAACCTATGGGGAAGCATTAGTTAGGAGGTGAGAGAAGAGAGCAGTTGATGGAAGGAATAAAGGGGAAGGCCCCTTACAAAAACAAACATAGCCATGTTTCTAGAATTGTATCTGTTATTTAATAAAGTTTTGGCCAAACCTTTTTGACTCGGCCACTTAGGAGTAATCTTTGCTCCTCTACGTATTAAAAGGCAGGACCCAGTTCTACTGATGCTTCTTTCTACCACTAGAAGATATTGAGGCTTTTTAGGCAGTAATGTGGGAGAAAGAATTTGATATGAAAGGTTGACTTCAGCAACCTTCCATTTAGCCATTCTAAAAGGAAGGGTAGCTAGGTAGTGCAGAGGTTGGACTGCTGGGCCTGAAGTCAGAAAGACTCATCTTCCTGAGTTCAAATCTGACCTCAAGGAAAGCAAGTCACTTAGCCTTGTTTGCCTCAGTTTCCTCATCTGTAAAATGAGCTGGAGAAGGAAATGGCAAATCACTGTAGTATCTTTGCCAAGAAAACCCTACATGGGGTCACAAAGAGTCAGACACAACTGAAAAATGACTGAACAACATGCTAAATGGTAAGATGACCCCACTAGAGTATACCTCCCCTACTCTTTCTGTTGCTTCCATCGGCAAGGAGTAAGACTGAACCAATTTTCTTGATGTGACTAGCTTCTTCCTCTCCTCCCACTCAAACCTTGCAGATGGCTATTGCAAATGCCCTATACTAGGAATATAGATAATGAATGGAAAAATAATCCACGCAGGGAAAATTAATTGTCTGTCAACATTAGGCTGATGAGGTATTTATTTGAACTGGAAAGAGGGCATTGCTGGAAGGGAAAGATGGAATAACAGCTCAAGCTTGTAATATATGGTGCAAGGGAACACCCAACTACATGTGCTCTAAACATGGTACAGTAAAACCAGCACCACAAAGTTAAAAGTAACTGCTGTGTGCAGACTGTTGTTAGGCTCAGGAGAATATACAAAGTTTAGATAAAACACAGTCCCTTCCCATCATGTGGTTTAGAGTTTAATATGAGGTAGGGTACCAGTTCAGCTGTAAATCATAATGCTATATAAGTGCATCTGAATTACAAAGTATGAGGTCCAAGAAGAGAAGTTGTTATTGAAAGGGGTGAGAGGCAAGGTGGTCTATAGAGAAGGCCTTTCAGTTGGGCTTTAAAGAAATCAACAGGTAAAGGGGGTAGCATGGGCATTTCAGGCACAAGGCAAAATCTAAGCAAAAGCTTGGAATCAGGAAAATATGGGGCATTCGGGTGCAGTGCATATTTAGAGTACTGAAATTAGTCTAGGGAGGCCAAAATGTGTAGTGGAGAGTAAGATAACACTGAAAAGATAGAAAGGGTCTTGAATCCCCGAGAAGACAAATTGTGGAGGTTCTTAAGTGCCAGGGAGAGAATTCTCAGTGCCTAGCGAAGTGCCAGGCATGTAATAGAAGCTTAATGAATGTTTGTTGACTAAGAGGAATTTGAACTTTATTCTATAGACAGTAGGTAGCCACTAAAGATTTCTGATCACAGGAATGTGACTAGGTCATATGAATGAGAAAGATTATTTTGGCAGTGGTATGGAAATTCATAGGACCATAGATCTCAGATATCATCTAGTTCAACATCCTCATTTTATAAATGAAGAAACTGAGGCCCAGGGAGATTAAGTGACCTGTTCGTGGTCACACAGGAAACAATAAGACATATATTGTTTTAAGGATTTCCAAGGAACTTGTGCATATGCTATCCCATTTGGTAGGTAATAAGACTGAGTTGAACCAGTTTTTCTGACTCTAGTGCTGGTGCTTCTTCCACTGTATCAATTGGAAGGAGGGCCAGGTAGTTAGTGCAGTGGATAGAGTGCTGGGCCTAGAGTCAGAAAGACCCATCTTCCTGAGTTCAAATCTGGCCTAAGATACTTAATAGTTGTGTGAACCTGGGCAAATCCCTCAGTTTGTTCATCTATAAATAAGCTGGAGAAGGAAATGGAAAGACATTCCAGTACCTTTACCAAGAAAACCTCAGATGGAGTCACAAAGAGTCAGATATGGCTGAAAAAACAACTGAACATCAACAACAATTGGAAGGGGGAAAGAGTAGAGGTAAGAAACTATATTGAGGGGCAGCTAGGTGGTGCAGTGGATAGAGCACCGGCTCTGAAATCAGGAGGACCTGAGTTCAAATCTAGTATCAGACCAAACACTTGACACTTACTAGCTGTGTGACCCTGGGCAAGTCACTTAACCCTAACTGCCTAAAAAGAAAAAAGAAAGAAATTATATTGAAATAGTAGAGGTGGGTGATAACGATGATTTATACTAGGGTCCTACCAGTAAAAATAGAGAG